GGTGATGGAGGTGCCATGAGGGGTCCCTGGCCTCCTGGAGTACGTGATCCAGTTGGGGGAGAGATACAACTATTTACAGAAATAACCATCCATCACTCAGAGGGTAAAGAATCCACCTGCAGTGCAGCAGACCCGGGTTCTATCCCTGGGTCTGAGAGATCCTCTGGAAAAGGGAACGGCTACCCTCTCCAGTATTCTCGCATGGAGAATCCCGTGGACAGAGGAGCCTGGCGGGCTACAGTCCCTGGGGTCACAAAGAGTCGAGCCACTAACACACATCACTATATCGTGATAGGAAAGAAGGCAGGGGTATGACGGAGAGTTCTCCTTGCCTGTCCCCCTCAATTCTGTGGCCTCCATCTGTGAAATGATAAGGTTACTCTCTAGGCTGAGTTCCCTTCCATAAGGCAATCTTCTGGGGGGAAACCTTTGGGAAGAAAAGTCTAGGATGCGTCCTGCTGCAAACTGAACGGGATATCTGGGGGCCAGACTGAAGGGGGTGAGCAAAGAAAGGTGCTGAGGGTCAGAAACACCGGTGATGCCACGTTTCTTACCAAAACCAACTTAGTTTCAAGTTGTGGGGAAAGCTCCATCTACCCGAAGTCTCACTGTTACTGAACTGACCCTTTAGCAAAGTTACCCTGCAAAGGAGTAAGAGTATGTGGAAGGGGAAAAAAGTGCAATATTGAATAGTCCTGTTTAACAAGTAACTTGATCTTTGTCGTTGTTGTTCAATGAAGTCCACCTTATACTTCAGAAATGCCCCCAGCTCCTGCCCCTCACTTTGTTAACAAGAACAAGCCAAACACTCAGGCAAGCTCCCTATAGGAACCCTCTGAATCATGAAATAGAGGAATCCACATCCTCACATTTTATAGATGTCTGCACATACTAAGCCTTGCTCCTAAATTTTAGGTTTGTAAGTTTAAAACAGAACAGTAAAGGGACATGCAGTCATCACAGTTTCAGTACTTAAAGGAAATAAATATCTTTATTCTAATGCTGACAATAAAATGCGTACCAGGGGTGTGGTTTTTCAAGTATCCACCACAATAATACCCTTTTCTGTAGCTGCAGAAGGAAAAGAATCACATTCTTCTGATTCACACTCACAGTGACTTGCTCTTTCACAGTGTCTTCACGAAGAGGATAAAAGTGAGAAGCTGCCTTAACAACAGGTCTACAGATTTCGCAGGGAAACAAAAGCTTCCCTTTTAAGGCTCCCCATCCGTTAGCATCACAGTATGAGTTTGAGTAGGCTCCGGGGCTTGGCGGACAGGCAAGCCTGGCGTGCGGCAGTCCACGGGGTCGCCGAGTCGGACACGACTGAGCGACTGGACTGAACTTAGGCGACACGCGGCCTGAGAGCGCCCACGCCCCGGGGGGGCGGTTCGGCCGGGGGGCGGGCCCTTCCGGCTTGGCAGTTCGGACTTCCCCGGGGCCCGGGTTGGGGGGCCCAGGTTGTTCCTGGGGCCCCGCCGGGGGGGTTCCGGGTTCTTTCGTTGCCGGGGGCGGGCGGCTTGGGGCTTCGGGGCTTGTTGGGGGCCGTTTTGGCCCGGAGGGGCGGGGAACCCGGGGGCCCGGAGTCACCTGGTCGAATGTAAAGCAGGGTTCAAGAAGTTCCGTTCGTTCACCTGTTCGACCGGCCTACAACCCGGAGGGAGCGCCTGGCACCCAAAGAACCCAACGGGGCCCGGCCCTGGCTTCCCCACTCCGGCCACGAGCCGTCCCAGAGGAGCTGCCGGCCCCGGGGCGGGGCGGGGCGGCAGGTTGAATGCCCAGGGCCGACCCCAAAGAGGGGCCTCCAGAAGTTGCAGGAGGCTCAGAAAGCGACGCAGAAGGTTCCCAGGCCGCTCTAAGAGGCCATCAACTCTCCAACGCCGCGGGTCCCGCAGGACTAGGCAGGAGAGTCTGAAAGTGTGGAAAGTTCCTCAATGACTAGTGTTTGCCAAGAGACCGGGGGGGCCCGAGGGACTCAACCCCCCGGGTCCTCCGTAGGCGCGAGCACCCCGTTCTCTTCCGCTGGCCTCCGCAGGCGTCAGCCCCTGCGGGTGGTCCCAGCTGGGGCCCCGGAGGCCCCCGCTCTGAAGCCAGAAGCGGAGCCGCCGGGAGCCGGGAGGCGGCGGCGGCCGCTCTGCACCCTTCGCGCATCCACCCGGCGTCCGCCTCCCACCCAAGGCGCCCGCGACCCCCGCTCCCGAGCAGCACGACCCCTCCCGGCCGAGCCTCTCACCTGGGACGGTTTGGTTGCAGGAGGCAGAGGCCGCCAGCAGGAGGACACCCCCGAGCAGCCACGCCGCGCTCCGGCTTCGCATCCTTCCAGCAGCGCCGACGCCAGGCGGACGGGGAGCCCGCCGCCGCCACAGCCCCGAAACTCAGAGACCCCCTCGCCGCTCGGCTCAGGTAGGAAGCCACCCTCCCGAGGGCCCCTGATTGGAGCCTGCGCGCACGCCTCCCGAGAACCGGATAAGTTTCAGTGAAACTCCAGCCTCTCGCCGCACCTGCGCGGGCCACGCCCCGGGGCCGGAACACACTGCTCCGCCCCGCGGTTCCGAGACCTGGAGTCCCGGCCCGGCCCCCCGGCCCCCCAGGCCGAGCGCTGGGGGCCCCGCCCCGGCCCGCCGCCCGAGGTGCGCCCGCCGCGGAGAAACTGTGCTGTAATCTTCGAAAGGCGGGAACACTCTCGTGGGATCTCCGCGGCCTGCGCAAGGCCAAAAACCGCCTTTAACCTTGAATTACTCCTGCGGAACCAGCGTTATCCACCCCCATCCCCGCCCTTCCTAAAGGGCAAACAGCCAAGGCCCGAGCTCGCTGCAGTTATCTTGGGTACTTCGTAGAGGCCTCCCAGTGTCGTCCGCGCTGTGGGATGAGGCGTGACTTTCTAGTCTGCATTGGCAGGATGGACGTCTGCGGGCCCCCGCCAACACGATGGGGAGCAGGCAGGGGTCCGGGCCTGCCAGAGTCATCTGGATCTGTGTTTAAGTTTCCGCTCGGCTGTTAACTAGCTGCGACCCCTCATAAACCTCTCACCCCTTCTAGGCGCCCATCCCCGTCTGTGAAGTGGGAGGGAGAAAACAGCTCTAACAGCTACTTAAAGAACCACGTGTAAATGATTCAGGAGCCCAGTCTAGATTAATCCCCCGAACATAAAAAACATGCAATAGCTATTATTCCCATTTTGCAGACGAGGAAACTGAATTAAGGCTGAACAAACTGCCCACAGTCACGCAGTGGTAGTCACAGATTGTAAATGTCCATCATATGTAAACTTGAGTCTGTGCCTTCTGCTTTCTTCTATTAATCACTGCTCCCACCGGTGTCTCTTCTGTATTGAGAGCCCACAGTCCGAAGAATTATATAAGCATTCATATTTACAAATAGGGCTTCCCAGTGGCGCTGGTGGTAAAGAATCTGCCTGCCAATGCTGGAGATTTAAGAGACGCGGATTCGATCCTTGGGTTGGGAAGATCCCCTGGAGGAGGGAGTGGTAACCCATTCCAGTATTCTTACCTGGAGAATCTCATGGACAGAGGAGCCTGACAGGCTACCGTCCATGAGGTCACATGGAGTCTATGGTCCATGGGGTCACATAGAGGCAGGCACGACTGAAGTGACTTAGCACATATTTATAAGTTTGTGTGCAGAACTGTTGTGCGCATGCTTTCAGCTCAAGGTAGAAAGGTTTTAGACTCGTGTCTTTCACTGCCATGGCCAGGGTTCCATCTCTGGTTGGGGAGCTAAGATCCCCACCAGCTGTCAGGTGAGGCCGAAATAAAAACAAACAAAAACAGTCCCAGTCCTGAGGGCTGCCTGGTGAGGTTAAGGCCATGTCACCGTCGGACGTGAAGCAAAGGACCAGGGCATGTGTCCTGCAGGTTGGAGAAGCAGTTCCCTACCAGGATCAGGGGTCAGGCTGATGAGTCCAGGTCACCTCTTGAGCATCTTGAGCCCTGGGAGTCCATGGTTCTGTCTAGAAGACCAGCTTGGTGAGTCAGGTGTCAGTGATGTTATCAGTAACTGAACATACTCCATCTCGGGCCTGTGAGTTTCTAGAATGGAGCTTACATCTAATAAAGGCCCTGTGTTCTGAGTAGGACCTCTTGCTGAAGCTACCATGGGACCAATTAATAGAACTAATGGGGGTTCCAGATAATTCAGGCAGGCAAAATTTTATAAAATGTCATGTTAGGGGCTTCTCTGGTGGCTCAGGGGTAAGGAATCCGCCTGCCAGTGCAGACGACACGGGTTCAATCCCCAACCCGGGAAGATCGCACATGCCTTGGAGCAGCTAAGCCCGTGCACCACAGCTATTGAGCCTGTGCTCTCAAGCCCAGGAGCCACAACTACTGAGTCCACGAGCCGTAACTACTGAAACCCGTGCGCCCTGGAGCCTGTGCTCTGCGACGAGAAGCCGCCGCAATGAGAAGCCTGCACACTGCAGCAAAGAACAGCCCCAAAAGCCCAGACGGCAACGAAGACCCAGGACAACCACAAATTCATAAACAAAATTATTTTTTAAAATATCATGTTAGCCAGTTGTTTCAACCACATGGCCAATAAGACATTTCCCCACATTTACGTAAGTAAAGGGTTAGCATTCTGCCTCTGCCCTCTGCCCTGACAGAGCTCACAGGAGCAGGAAAATAAATGGTTGAAAAGGCAGAGAAGCAAATGGCCCTGAATGGACCACAAGAATGGAATAATTGCTCTCTGAATAACAGGAATGGACTGCTTCCCAACACACACACAGACAAGAGGGGCTAGGGGAGGCTGTCCAGTGAATGACACAGTTCTTTTTAATGGGCGCCTTTCAGTGGCCCCACGTCTTAGGAACCTCTCATTGTTACTGTCTGGAGTTCCTTTGGGAATGTAGAAAGAGCTCGGCCTCTGAAACCATATAACCCTGCAGGCAAAATTTGGTCTTTCACCTTCCAGGTATTTGTGACTTGGGATAAACTTTGCTACTTACCCTCTCTAAGTGGAGAGGGAATTCCACTTACCTGTAAAGTGGAATCAAGGGAATATTCTGGTGGTCCAGTGGTTAAGACTCTGTGCTCTCACTGCCGATGGTCCCAGTTCAATCCCTGGTCACAGAACTAAGAACCCACAAACCATATGTTGTGGGGGGAAGAAAGAAAAAATGATGGAGTCAATTTTTTTTTAGTTGAGAAGTACCTGAGGGTAAAATAAATTGTGACTGTGTTTTGTTTCCTCCCTTTCTTTCAGGAGTCTTCTTTACACCCCACACCTGTACCCCAGTTCTCAGGATGCTGCTTCTCAGGGCCACACTACTGTGCCCTCTTTCCTTCCCGGGAAAAGCTGACTTCTAGAAGCAGCCCCAGGGCCTTCTTCATCTGTCCAGGAGTAAGATCTCTTGATGGCGAACAGGTCACTCACGAGGGTCCTTCACTGGGGAAGATACTCAGTCCCATGAGACCCCCTCAATCCTTCCAAGCCTCCATTGAATCATCTGTGATATATAACTATGATGTCTATAATCTGAAAGTGATAACAGGACCATTCTTACAGGCTGGTCGTGAAGATTCAGGTTTGCTCTATGCCCAGTTAGCACAGTTCCTGGTACACAGTAAATTCTCATGAAATCTAGAATGTAGAATCTCACTGTAGAATGACTGCCCTAGGGGGGAAGTCTTCCTTTTTCCAGAGAACCATGCATCAAAGGCCAGCTGTCTTCAACTTAAATTTTCATTAGTATTTTATGGAACTATGCCTTGAATTGTCAAAATTTCCAAGAAAATATTTTTACTGAACAGTGCCACAGGTTAAGGATCTCAAGAATGTGGTTTCTCCCAGAGGCCTGACTACATGTATTCAACTCAGTTTGCAGATGTTTCCCGGTGACTTAGAGACTAGAGTGTTTGTCTTCTGACTTTTGTTGACTCTTTTGCCCTGAATGACTTGGCTGTGTGGAACAGTACGGAGAAATAACCACAAGCAATTCCAAGCAGTCTGGCTTTCAGGGGCTGGGAATGCCATGCAGTTTCCCACCTCCTACAGTTCTAATGAAATAAAGTGGGAATTGGGGTAGGCCAGACACCAAGGGAAAAGCTATTTCATTCCATCATCTCTACAGTCATTTATGAAGCTGATCAAACTCTTTCCGGAGAAAAAAAGACTTGGTCCCTCTACTGTTGGGTCCTGGTCAAATATAGGTGGAGGAGATATTAACATTCACTCACTCACTCGTTCATTGAGCAAACACTGAGGACAAGATAAGGAATGACCTTCATGTGGTAAGTCCTTTGGTCAATTCTCAGTCTTAATATTGCTCAACTGGACTATGGAGTTTGGCATAACTGATCTTTCTCTCCTTGAATGCTATGTTCCCTTGACTTCCTGCAACACTCTTATCTTGATTCTCCTCCTGTCTCCCTGGCAACTCAGAAGGGGTTGACTTTTTTCTGGTTCTCACTTACCTTCCTCAATTCTGCACTCTGGAGGAGTACCCCTGAGTTTGTCCTTGGACTTCTTTTCAAAAAATTCACTTATTGCCTTGGGTGATCTAATCTAATCCTATGGTTTTAAATACCATCTTTATGCTGACAACTCCCAAATTTGTATCTCTGCCCCAGGTTTCTCCTTTCTAGACACATATCTATTCAGCTACTGCTTACCTCCAGTTGGACGTGACCGTAGGCATGTCAAACCTAAGTTCAAAACTAAATTCCTAACTCACCTCACCCTCTCATAGTCTTCCCATCTCCTTAAATTGCAATGCCATCCGTCCAGTTGCTCTGATCAAAAATTTTGGAATGGGCTTCCCTGGTGGTCTAATGGTCAAGCATCTGCCAGCCAATGCAGGGGACATAGGTTCAACCCCTGGTCTGGGAAGATCCCACATGCCATCAAGCAACCAAGCCTGTGCGCCAGCAACTGCTGAGTCCGTGCATGTAGAGCCTGTGCCCCCACGATGAGAAGCCGGAGTATTGCAGGGAGAGTCGCCCCCTCTCTTGCTGTGTGTGAAACTCAGCACAGGCATAAGTAAACAGATAAAGCAAGAAAGAAATCTCAAAGAAAGAAATCTTGGAATCATCTGTGACTTCTTATATCCCACATTATATCAGTGAATCCTACCTTGAAAATATACCCAAAATACCACCCTGGTTCAGGTGACCTTTATCTTTTATCCGGATTATGGCAATAGCCTTGTGACTTATCTCTGTCCTTTTACCTATATGCCTATATACAGCCTTCTCTCAACACAGCGGTCAGAGTGAACCTGTTAAACTGTGTGTCAGTTCAGATCACTTCCTCACGTAAAATACTGAAGTAGCTCCCCACTTCCCTCTGAGTACAAACCAAAGCGTGTCCCAGCCTTACACATCCTGCCCTCCCCCGTCGCGCTCCAAACAAAACCCCCTTGATTTCATCTTCTCTGTTCCCCTCACTCGTTCTGCTCCAGCCACACACACCCGCTTGCCGTACCATTGCCTGGAATGCTTTTCCCTCAGACACCCACAGAGCTTCAGTCCTCACTTCCTCCAGGTATTTGCTAACAAGCTCTCTTCCCAGTAGGACCGTCTAAGAAGGCGCCATCCTATACTCCCCCTCCTTCCTCCGTGTTTTGTTTTCCTCCATGGCATGGATCACCAGCATTGCTGTTCTGCGTGTATTTACTTATTATCTAGTTCCCCCACTGCAATGTAAACTCCATGAGCACAGAGTTGTGTTGTTTTGTTTTTTTTCCTTTGTGGCATTTAAAAAAGTATTTATAGAGTAACATTATCCAGTGCTGGCAGCTGCTTCTGATACACTTATCTCTATAACATCTTAAATGTTATTATTTGAGTCCCAGTTTAAATCACTTTTCTTAAGATGCAGAAAGGCAAATATCTAAAGCACTATGAAAGTCAACCTTTAAAATGCAGAGGACAGAGATTTTTAATTTGTCTGGTCCACTCCTGTGTTCACAGTGCTAGAACAATACAGTGAGTTCAACAAATACTTGTGAATAGATGAGTTCTTATATATTGTTCACCTACTATCTTTCACTCGCTCAGCTAGAAGCTAGGATTGCCAAGATCCCTATCTCCACCTCCATTGTGTAGATGCTCAAATGTGTAAGTCAAGGACTGAGGGTGAGGGGTCAGGGAGAGTGATGCGTTGTTGAAGGGCTGTGGATGCACGGAGAAAGAATGACTCTCTCCTGGGGGCATCAGAAAAGGCTTCCTGAAGGCGGGGTCATCTGAAGAGGGCTTTGAAGGATGAATAGTTACCTAGGTGAATGATTTACAGTGAGACTAACTGCTATAACAGATAATCTCCAAATCTTAGCACTTTACTGAAATAGACGTTCCTTTCCTATGTAAAGTCAAAGCTGAAGCCAAGTCTGCGTTTGGTAGAAGGTTCTCCTTCAAGTGTGGTAAGTGAGCCAGGCTTCTCCCAACTTGGGGTTCTGCCATCGTCAACTCATGGCTTCCGAGGGCACTGCAGAAGGAAAGAGCAGAAGGATTCTTCACGCCCAGTTTCCACAGCGCTGGTCTGAAAGTGGCACGCAATCATTTCTACATTCCATTGGCCAGAGATCAGGCACATGGTCATAGCTCGCTGTGAGGCAGGCTGTGTGCCCACACAGAAGGGGAAAATGGAGCTGAGTGGACAGCTGTCCAGTCTCTGTCTGTTATCCCAGGCATGATGGCGCAGAGGCAGGCCCCCGAGGGAAAGCACAGTATGAAAGTGTGGTAAGTTTGAGGAACACTGTGGTAGAAACCAAGAGAATGTGAAGGAAAGTGGCCCGTGATAAAACTAGAAAAGTAGGCAAGACTCACCTATGAAAGGCATCTGTTTACCAAGAAAAGTGAAGTGAACATCGCTCAGTCGTGTCCGACTTTGTGACCCCATAGACTATATAGTCCATGGACTTCTCCAGGTCAGAATACTGGAGTGGGTAGCCTTTCCCTTCTCCAGGGGATCTTCCCGACGCAGGAATCGAACCAGGGTCTCCTGACTTGCAGGCAGGTTCTTTACCAGCCAAACTATCAGGGAAACCATGAAAAAGACCTTGGATTTCATCCTAAGAACACTGAAGGTCAAACCATCCTTTCTCGGCCTATCTTCACATCACTGAAATTGACAGGGTGGTCTTGCTGGCACCAAAAGAAAAGACTTAATCAGGCAGGAGTTGTAGGAGGAGGGAAATGGGAGAAGAAAGAGTCACTCCTACTACAAACGCTGCCCACAGAGGACCCTGCCGCACCTCACAAGCTGCCCCACTGTCTAATCACCACGTGGCATAATCACGGCTCTCCTGCCTCAGCCCTGGCATGTGCCTGCTTCCTTAGGAAATCACTGGCACAGACTCCTTCCCCTGGCTCTTCATGACATGTGGANGAAAGAGTCACTCCTACTACAAACGCTGCCCACAGAGGACCCTGCCGCACCTCACAAGCTGCCCCACTGTCTAATCACCACGTGGCATAATCACGGCTCTCCTGCCTCAGCCCTGGCATGTGCCTGCTTCCTTAGGAAATCACTGGCACAGACTCCTTCCCCTGGCTCTTCATAACATGTGGATGCCAGCTCTGCTCCCCCCGCAGCATAATCCCTTTTCAGCAAGGTAAGATAGGGCTACATTTCTCTGTTAACATTCCTCCCAGTGATGTGTGGTCCAACACCAAAGCCCTGTTTAAAAGCCTTGCAACACTTTTCCTTAAAAGATATTTTATTGTTTGGCAGAAACAAAAAAATCTGAAAAGTTAAGAAAAAAACCCAAATCCCAAAGATCATAAGCCTAAACAATAGTTGGTTGCTAATGCCTGAAAATATTATCATTTGAATTTACTTCTTTAGGTCTAGCAAGCCCATGGGAAGCTGAGAGACCTCCTTGAAGGTTCCAAACTTTGTCTCCCGTCCAGACCCCTCCTTTTCACCGAGGCTGAGCTGAGTGGTAATGGGTGAGTGCGGCAACCCTCAGAGTCTCCCTTCCTCAGGCCAGAGGGCTTCTAAAGCCCCCCGCCACCCCCACCCAGCTCTGGTGGATGAGTTGAAGAAAACTAATTCTTCAGAGATAAGCAGAAAGAGGGTGGTGCCAAGGACAGACCTGCCACTTGGCCCCTCTCCAGAGAGGGCTTTAGTG